CCCTCCCTCCCTCCCTCCCACCCTCCTCTCCCACCACACAAGACACACACTGTATGCACGATAGTTAAATGAGAGAGACCCAATTACTGTAAGCGAATATCGTAATTAGAGTAATTAATTGAAAATAATACAATTATTAATACGACTGCTCGTTTTATGCTCGGCGCTACGCATTTCATTGTCATTATTATATATCAGCATTTATTAATTATATATATATATATATAAATCGTATATATATATATACGAAAAAAAATAAAATGTGTTTATAAATAAAATATGACTGTTGCCGTTGTTGTGATCGAGAAGATTACTATTATTGTTTGTCGAGACATCGGAAATAACGTCTTTAGTTTCCTTAGGAGAGTCAGCAAGCGCCGGTTGTATTGGCGCTGCATGAGAGCGAGAACCTTAGCGTCGTAGGTTAAGGATTAAATGTCTCTCGGCAGGGGTACTACCAAAAGGGATAATGGTAGTTAGGTTTTCTCTAGAGAAAATGTGATAAATTAATGTTAGAAATATAACGAGTATATATAATAGAGCGAGGAAATATAATGAGAAGTGTTGAGAGCAATGGAAATGGACCAGAGGGTAACGAGGCCCTTGGTAACATTTTTTTTTTCCTGTTTTTGCTCGTTTGCCTAGTTGCTCGTTGTAATCGCTGTTTACTTCACTAGCCGTAACGCGAGCAATTACCTTTATTTGCTAGGTAGTGCACGGTCTAAATAATTTGCTGGATAAAATTTAGCCGATCGTCGACCTATTAAATGACCTTCCAGTCAGTGTACGATGAGTGCGACAACGGATGAGGTTCTGGGTTGGATTCTTGTAAGTAAAAAAATGCTTTATTTCTTTGAAAAATACAAATAATTTTTAAAAATGTCTGTCGCGCGTGCATTTAGCGATGTTACCTAGATTTGTCAAATATGCATTACTTGAAATGATAAATTTCAGTCTTGTTAGTTTATTGTCGCAGTAATTTTCAGTGTGATTATTCCAAAGGGACTTAAAAATAAAATCTAAAATCAGTGGCAGACTTGCTACGTAAATTTCAAGACTTTTTATTGTCGATTGTACGTGTCAACACTCTTGAATTTCTTTTTTTATACCCATTCGTATCCTGCTATGTGCGTGGTTGGTAATAATAGAAACGAGACACGAGTCAGGCCCATTCAGTCCTACGCTCATTTATAAATTAATATTACATTCCCGTGGTAGCACAGGATGCACCGAGTATATTGCGTGGTATTTAGGTACAGCTACGTTGATTACTTCTGAGAGGATTTTCTATCTCCCTTTCCTTCTCATCTATCCTTGCGTCAGTTCATCCACATCACGTATTCTCTCTTCCGTCTTCATTGCCGTAACAGGCAGAACTGATAACGTCGTCCTGATTAGCGAGTGTGAATCGTCACTATGAACAATGACGTGATGAGGAATTCGAATGGCTGTGACAGGAAAGGCTGAGCTTTTGCTATAGACTGCAAAATAGTATGTAGATGGCGCGACAGGCTTTTGTCTTGTCAATGTCGCTGGCTGGAAACGGTATTGAATATTCTAAACATCGTACTAACGTTACGCTGAGGCATTAATCACGTATTTCAAGAGCATCACTTAAAGTTGTGGATGTCTTTTTAAGGAATTCCTGAAAGGTAGCAGTTGTTATTGAAACTGTTGCAGAAGGTTGTCTGATTCAGTGTCACGGTATCTGCGCTGCAATATGATGCAAAGCAGCTTAGGAATGTCACTTGATTAGACTATTAATATTGAAATTAATTAATTCAGATACACCAGGTAGCGGTAGAAACGCTTGTGGTATTGTTGCACTGTATGTTTCTTTGGCACGATTCAATATATTGATTGATGTATCATTTTAAATGCAGTGCGTTAATAGGTAGAGCCTATATATAGTCAGTGTCAAAATTCCTGGAGTTAATTAGGAATTCTTTATGTCGCACTAGAGAATTTGGTGCGTATATATAACGGCAATCGTTGCGGAGGTTAATTGTATTAAGACTTGCACCTAGCCAGATGTTATTAGTTTTCACAAAAGTAGATTTTGTCGAGGGGAGAAACTACGTAAGAACTTTCAATTATTCTGTTGTCGAAAGATCTTCATACTTTGCATTGTTATTTTAAGGACACCAGTATGTCGCAGCTGCTATCCGTCTTTTTCTATTTAGCGGACACGCTTCTGACTTCTATACACCGTCCATCCTCTATGTTGATGATTGCTAGAGTAGGCTATTATCCTTCCAGGAGTATAAGTTTTATGGGAATCTCCCTACTAATCGCTAATAATAGGTTTTTTTACTTTTCAAAAAGTATAGGTAACGAGACAGACCTAGTGAGTAAATGTGTAAGACTAATGAGAAATTCACTTAACAAGTCATTCGTTCAACGAAATTTTCTATCGTTTCACAAACTCGTTATCTTTACATTGCATAAAAGCTAATGCACCTGCAGAATAGCTTGTAACCTTGTTGGCAAGATCGTTTTACATTTTAGGCTCATTTTTTGTTACAAGACTCATATTGTTATGCAAATATAAAGATGAAATGAAAATTTTTTTTGTAATTGTATAGAAAATGATACTTCCTTAAACTATGGTACCAAGCTAACACATTAAAATTGAGTATACAAGTAACATAATTTATGATAAGAATATATGATTTATATAGAATTTATTGAAAGTGGGGAAACGTAAGGGCGAGCACTTAATACATCACAGCGGTTAAACATCATATAGCACTGACACTTTATTTGCACATATATTAAAAACTCTGAGATGAAAAAAAGAGTACCACTTTAACTCTCCGAAGCATACATTTTTTTTTTTCTTACATACGATTTACTTGAAATATGGTACTCGGAGGTTTCTAAGGTTGTTAATTATGAATCGGAACTCAATTCATTTAGATTTGCCACAGTGGATCTGTCATGTTAGAGTCGAAAATTTCGAATTCAGATTTGTAATAAGCGAACCCAAAAACTTCCGAGTATCGAGGTTTGTCTAAATCAAGTAACTTTTTGCATTTTGGTCTGCCATATTAGACTCGCTATTTGAATTCTTAAATTTTAGGTTCAGACTCGTAATCAAAGGTCTCAAAAACTCCCGAGTAATATATTTTACGCGAGGAAAGTAACTTTTTAAATTTTTTTTTTCATGGGAAGGGTTAATGCAGACCCGCCAAATTGGATCTGCCACTTTGAATTTGAAAATTGTTACTTCAGATCCCAATTCAGCGAACCTTAAAACCTCTGGGTACCAATTTTCGCTTGAATTAGATGTGAATTACTAGTTTTCTTTATAGAGTTGCCAGGTAATACTCTTGAACACCACCATGCTTTAAAGGGTTAAGTAGCCTGTGTTATATAATTCACAATAAACATCGGTATATACTTTGTATACAACAATTCCATACACCCCGCGCTCTCGTTTCATTTCATTTTTTTTTATATACTTTTTTTCTTTGTACAAACGCACTCCTAGTGCTGTGAGAAACGAGTGAGGGGACTCTATGGCAAACGAAGTGGCAAGGGAAAAGATAACAGCATTGTACCAATTCCACAGCGCGGTCCAAAAATATCCAAGTCCGTGTAAATCATTTTCCGATTTAGCAGAACAGTCTAGCGTGTAATTGCTTATTATATGTGGAATAACGTACCCACATTATGAGTATTTATCGAAAATGCATAAATAAATTTTATCCACGTTTGTTTCATTTTCATTTAACGATCAACAACAGCCACACTAATTAGCTGATTAATAATCATTTTCATTAACCCTGATTAAGTCCGGGTCCGTGTAATTCGATAAAACTCTCCAGTGTGCGGGGTACGTTGCCGCAATATGATAAGTTGTAAGTTTTTACGGCTTTAGCAGCCATACACTTCAGGGACAATTTCGTCTGAGTGCGCAGAATTATTTCTGCTATACCTACAACCACAAAACAACAGTATATATCACAGAATATCGTTGTATATAAAGTTGATATGTATCGAACATGGAAATAAAAAATTATACTTTTGCTTACCAGTGGTTGCTGCGTTGAACGGTGTCTTTCCGCGACTATTCACAGTGTCCATATGTGCTCCAGCTTCTATCAGATCCATAATAATTGAATGAAGCGTCATGAAATCACTGCAATGAAAATTCAATAATAGAGAACATTGAAATGACAGAAGTACTGATAACGCAATGTAAATTCATTCAAAATAATTACCTGATTGGCTTGTGATAGCCAACGATGACATGAAGTGGTGTATTTCTTTTACTATCCATGGCGTTGACATCAGCGCCACATTGTATTAACAATTTTGCAGTGGCAGCGCAGGGAAATCTGAGGAAATAATAAACAATTAAATGAACTCATAAAATTGAAGAATAGCATTAAGTCTCATAACAAGGGAGGATTTTGTTTCTTATTGATATTTAATTTATTGATTTGGTATTCGATTATGCTAATGTATATGATAAAAGTATTAACTTACTTGCAAACGTCATTCGTATGAAAATCGTCGACTGGCGTTTTGGCATTCACTGCCAAATGTAAAAGTGTCTGTCCGTCGCGCAGAGTAACGCGCAACGCACATAATTTATGTACTAAATAATGAGCTTTATTGACATCAGCCTCGTCATATTCTTTTTTATTTAAAGTCATCAGGGTCGTTAGAATCGTTAAAATATAAAGAGTCGTCGTGATATTAGACTCCATTTCTTCCTGTATCATGAAAACAATATTATTAGTGCGTAAATCAAGCGTTAGGAAGCTTGGTATATGTTGAAGTATGTTGTTCTTTATGCTTTTATTTATTTAAACTTACAATAATCTGATCCGGATCTTCCTTAGGATCAGGATCAGGATCCTTTAGTTTGGCCTTATTTCTTCCCAATTCAATAACACTCGCTTCTAAAACGTTTATGACTTGGGAAAACTGTAGATCAACACCTACGTGGATCATTTGAGAGAATACCTGTAACGCAAATTAACATTAATGGTTAGTTGAAAATAATATACAATTGGAACTGACATCGTGTCTTTTTTCTCTGCTCCAGTATTACCTGTGCGAACCGTAAAAGATCCTTGACTACAGAAATATTGTTTAACTGTCTTAACTTTAATGCATGGAGCCATAGATCTATACATCTATCGAATCTCGCATTATCGGCGTACACAGCGCCACGAAATATTATTGGATGTGGCACTTCTGGATTGTGAGTTCCTGCGATCGAACAAACATCTCTTATTTTAAGTAACCACATAGATAGTAAACAACAAGAAACTGATTTTACTTACCCAATATTCTCTCTCTAATGGCAAGAGATTCCATGTGAATGGCATTATGATTATTTTTTATGCTTTCTAGTCTCTCTAAAGTCTCGCACTCTCTCCAATTCTCATAAGCACTTATAGGTTCGTCAACTTTCTTAGGAATAATGTTATTGGGATCACTAAACCTAAATATAAAAAGGAAAGATCTATCATTACTCATTGATTTAATTATTTATGAAAGAAAGCATTGGCCGTATAAAACAATTACCGTAATTCCATTGCTGCGTGCAAATACTTGTATGCCCTTATGATACAATAATTATCTTTGTCGTTGGCATAGGACGCGCCAAGTAATTCGAACGCTTCTATAGCTTCCTCTTTGGTGACTTCGTCTCTTTCAACTAGACATTCCACGACTTCCATTCTCGTTCTATCGGCAGCTACGATTAAGGGTGTCATACCATTTACATTCTTTGTCATCTTTGTACCAAACCGCAAGAGCTCATACACTATATTATAGTGACCGCACTCAGCAGCAAAATGTAAGGCAGTTGCACCGCAGTGAGCTTTCTCATTTGGATTGGCTTCATTTTCTAAGAGGAAGCTCACTACGTCAAGATGGCCCTTATAGGCCGCTATCATTAGGCAGGTATTGTTATATTTATTGGCAATGTGTATGTTGGCATTGTGGTCCGTTAAATATTTTACAATATCGAGTCGACCATCGAAACATGCCGCCCTTAGAGGCGTTGAGTTCGACTTTGTGGGATGATTCACGTTGGCCCCAGCTTTGACTAATGTTTTAATGACGTTTAAATGACCAGCACCTGACAATAGAGAATTGTAAATCATTGTATTATGATAAGAGTATGTTATATGTTAATATGTATATGTATGTATATGTATATGTATATGTTATATGTATATGTGCTGTTTATTTATTATGGATCGTACCTGCAGCACACCATAGTGCACTAGCCCCTTCTATTACGTTTCCATCAAATTTTACAGTACCCTCTTGCTCTAAGTCAGGCTTAAATTTTTCTAGAAGCATTTTAACAACCCGGTCATGACCATATCTAGCTGCTACTATTAATGGGGTACATCGTTGTCCATCTTCCTCCAAGACTTTCTATAATAGAGTAAATGTAGAATGTAATCTATTTCCAGATATACAATTTTATTTTAGATAAAAATTATATAAAAATGCTTATTGAAGATTTACGGTGATACTCTTCGTTACCGTTCAGCACAAGAATATAAAGTTTAAATGGAAAAAAATTATAATTCATCATAAAGAAAATAATGTAAGTAAATAGTGATAATCGAAGAAGATATCATGACTAGGCATATTGCTTGGCAGCAGCCATTGATCCTTTGCTTGAAGATTCATGCGTAGATGGAATTGGATAAGTGCCAATGGCAGTGGTTAAGGTGCGTATTTATTTATGCTTCCAAATTTTAATATTTGCCAAACCTCCAATTTGTCAAATACGTTGTTCAGCTATATTTATTTGGAAAAGCCTTGGCACATGTACATGGAATAATATATTTCTCCATATAGATCAAACATTTTCATATAGATATATGGCAAAAACTAAATGAAAAAGATTTCTTGGAATTGCTCGGCTTTAGAAGAGTTAATAAGAGAAGGAACTTGACATTACACTAATGATTGCGAATAATGAAACAAGAAGATTAACTTACAAGATTATTAGTAAAATAGCAAAGAAGCCAATCTATCAATGAACAAATTACAAAAAAACATTGTGTATCGAAGAATCAGGTCTTACTCAAATCTAACTATAAATAAACTTCTACTGAAAAACATCTGAGATGACAAGAAATCTAAGAGATCAGTTTGTATAACAATAACTCACCTGATTGATGAGATAATCAATTTGATCAGAGAATCTGGCACTAAGTAAGGCATAGAGCGTAATAGCCATACCATCCCTAGCAGCATAGTAAACCCGGTTCAGTAGGGACTGGCTGATCTCAGTTTCCTCTGTCATTGCCAATAAATGTATATCTTTTGTACAAGAGTCACTGTATCTTGGAGTTTCTGACTTTTCTGTCCGTCAAGTGCTAAAGCTTGTGTCAGTTAACAGAAACAGGACTTGCGCTGTTCACGCGTCGAAGCGATAACCTCAAAAGCCATTCTTACCGTTCCATTTGCGATATAAATACACTTCGGATGATTCCGTATCTATTTTTAGTAGATTTGCATGCAAAAATGTATCGATCCCTCTCACACAAAAATAGACAATGACTTGTCGGCACACACGTTATGCGGCACGATTTCCCCTTTACGATGCTACTTATCGCAAATTATTCTTACACCATGTCTATAAGGTGAATAATAATTATTCGCGACACTGACTATTACTTATTGTCAATTATTTAAATGCGTCATTTCTTTGACGTAGAACCGAAAACAGATTTTTGACACCAGAGATGAGTAGGGAGATGTACAACGCTACGGTTTTAGGCGGTACCAAAATCATGCCGCTAAATCGTAGCGGCAAGTCTGGAAGTAGGATTCTGTGATCATCGCCTCCGTCGACAATGCAAATCCCGTCGTAGTCGAGCTAAACGTGAAAACGAACGCGTAGCTTGGCGGGCAGAGGTTCTCCGCTACTCACCGCTGGTTCCCAAAGCAACTCTTAGAACGAGACCGGGAAATATAGAACTTCTCAAGAATTATTGAAAAAGCTTATTGTTGAAATATTTTTAAGACATTTTTAAGAAAGTGCCAACTTGACACCCGTGTAGCACCTCAATTTTTACTAAATATTATTGGATCTTGATTTACTTTCAAAATTTATTCAAAATATAAAGTTGAAGCTAAATAAAAATCTCGCAGAATATACGGAGTAGATAAAATTTGAATTGAAATTGTAGCATATCGAAAATAAATTACATTCAAATTGAAATATTAATAAATTAAGTGTTTGTAACATTAAAATAATTAATTAAATCAATAAAGTAAAATATTAACACTCAGAAATCGGAAATTCAGGGCAAGCATATTTAGAAATTACTGGAAGTTGCCCAAAATTGTATGCGCGCAAATTCGTCGCGGCAGGACTCTGGGAGTGGGAGATGACGGAGAGTGGGGGTGAGCGCTGGAGGCAGCGCCCGGACTCCGAGCGCCCATTCTTCCTCGAGCCGGTCTCCTATACTGGTCTCTTGGAATCATTACTCTTACTCATTTTCAACATTCTTCTCTTTCTATATTTATTTCTTCTTTACATTCATATTTCTTTATCTGTCATTCTTTACTTTCTGATTTATCTCTTTCTTTATTTCTTCTCTACTTTTATATTCCTTACTTTTCTACTTCTTAACTTCTTTATTTTTATCTTTATTTCTTTCTTGTCGTTTCGCTTTGTTCCCTCTCACTTTCAATTGTATTTGTCTTACTTTTC